TCAGTGCTATGATAGAGAATTAAAGAACAGAGGGAATGTGACAGGACATTGTGTGTCGGGTTGGCTATGCAGCACTCCACTAACCTGAGGGAAAGAGCTCAGCATCTGGGTGGGGCCAATTCTGTCCACTCAAAAAGTCACTTGGGGCAGAGACCTAGGCTGATGAACCATGAATTGCTTGACATGGGAGGAGACTGAGACACTTGGACATCCAGTCCCCCCCCCCCAAAAAAATCACCATCAGATAGGAAAGAGTCAGGAAGTGAGCAATAGGGGAAAAATAAGAAAGGGGGGGGGGAGGACTAAAATTACCAAAACTCTCAGGAAGAAGAAAACTCAAAAGACTTTAAACATAAGCAGGGATGACACTAACAGCAAAAGGAGGTATGGTCTCCAGATCTAGTAAACAAGACCAGGCATCTTTGAATAAATACTTCGAAACAAAGGAAAATGATCCAACATTAGCCAAAGGATCTCGTGGAATTTGAGAAAAACATGGAACTACAATACACTGTTCCTACGTGGCTTAAAAGAGAAATGAGAATTATGAGAGTAAAATTGATGTCTTCACAGCAAAAATAATGGGCAAAATAGAAAAATCTGAATCTGTGATGGTAGTCTCACCAAAGAAACAAAAGAAAGAACAATAGCATGAGATTGAAAATACACAGAAGTGAAGGACAATCTAGAAGAACAGAAGCAAAGAAAAATAACATTTAGAAAATACATTCACCATCCAAGCAAAGCATCCTGATCTTGAAGACAGGGTGCATCCAAGTAACTTAAGACCATAGGTCTCCCAGAAGAACAAAACAAAACAAAAAGCCTTAACACTATAATGCAGGAAATTTAAAAAAAAAACTTGCCCAGGAACTTCTGAATAAAGTAAATACCAATTGAAAGAATGCAAAGATTGCCTGTAAGGGAAAAAAAAGAAACCCAACTCTACAAACTCCAAGACATACAGTAGTTAAATTTAACAGTTCAATCCAGAAAAAAGGTCTGCAAACAATCAGGAGAAAGACCTTCAAATACAAAGAAAAAGACATTTGAATAATTCAAGACTATTCTGCACCCTCCAGAAAACAGAGAAGGAAGTGGAATAGTTGTTGCTCAGTCACGTCCAACTCTTTGTGACCCCATGAACCATAGCACACCAGGCCCTTTTATCCTTCATTATGTCCTGAAAATTGTCCAAGCTCACATTTATTACTTCTATGACACTCTTTTCATATCATCCTCTGCCATCCCCTTTTCTTTTTCCCCCCCTCAATCTTTCCCAATATCAGAGTCTTTTCCAGTGAGTCCCGTCTTCTCATTATGTGGCCAAAGTATTTAAACTTCAGCTTCAGTATTTGACCTTCCAGTGAATAGTCTGAAATAATTTTATTCATTATTAACTGATTTGACCTCCTTGCTGTCCCAGGGATTCTCAAAAGTTTTCTCCAGCACAATTTGAAAGCATTGATTCTGCGGTGCTGAGCTTTCCTTATAGTCCAACTCTCACAGCAATGCATTGCTAATGGAAAAATCATAGCTTTGACTATATGAACCTTTGTCACAAGGTGATGTGTCTGCTTTTTAGTATGCTGTACAGATTTGCCATAGTTTTCCTTCCAAGGAGAGTCTTTTAATTTCATAGCTGCAGTCACCATCTGCAGTATCTTTGATCCAAGAATATAAAATCTGACACTTCTTCCATTTCTTTTCCCTGTATTTGTCAGGAAGTGATGTGAACAGTTGCCAAAATCTTAGGTTTTTTGTTGTTTTGGTTGGCTTTTTATATTAATCTTCAAGCCAGCTTTTACATTAACCTCTTTCACCCTAATCAAGAGGTTTCTTAATTCTTCATTTTCTGCCATCAGAGTGGTATCATCTACGTATCTGAAATTGTTGATATTTCTCTTAATTCCAGGTTTTGAATGGGATGTGTTCCAAAGAAAAATGGAGTTCAAGATGCAGCCCAAGGTGACCTACCCTGCAAATCCGAGCTTAACTATAAATTTTTAAAAGATGGACATTCAAAAACACAGCCTTTTGAAACATTCTTAGAAAGAAAACCACACCTGAAGAGATTATTTGCTCCCGAAACACCCCAGACAACAGATACGCAAGAGAAGTGAACAAAAGTAAGAGTCTAAGACAGCAACCAAGTAACCACAGAGAAAACACTAAGAGATTTTCTAATTATACACAAAGAGATGAGTAAAATTGGAAGTCAGGTGGAGATAACAGTGTGGAGTCAGGCCAGGGATATTATGGACAGAACTTGGTGACATCCCGCCTGTAGGTGAATCAATGTTTTGTGTGGGACCATATTACAAAATGGAAGAGTGAATGAAAAGGGGGAGAGGATTGGGGGTTGCATGTAATATGCCTGGATCAAATCAAGGGCTAGCAATAAGGAGAAGGGGACCCCTGTGGTCTCAGGAAGAGATAGCCTGTAGGGGAGTGGATTAGGAGGGTTATAAAGATAGATCAAGCATGATTTGAATGAAGAGACATAAGAGGACACACCCAACCCATCCCTTCGTGGAAGTGGAAGGTCCACAGCAGTTATACATTGCACATGTTTTCAGAATATTCAATGTATCAATAAGTTGTACAGATTTTTTCTCTTTAAAAAACACCTGTCTGTTATATGGGATGGCTCCCTGGGAGGGGGAAAGGGAGAGATACTGGGTTTAACTATGCTGATGTTAAAAAAAAAAAAAAAGACATCAATAAAAACTTTTTTTAAAAAAAGTTTAACAATTAGTTCTCCCAAGCCAGTCTAAGCTGGCTCTAGTACATCTCTGCTCCAAGGCTATCTACAACACCATAACTACCATTCAGTGCTAATGACAAAATGAGAAAGCAAAATACATATATATATATATGCAACAGGGAATATTTGTTTGAAAACAAAATTTTTTTGTTTCAACATAAATACATGGTCCAATGCCAGAAAGAGGCTATCTTAAAATTCCAGCTTTATGAAAGTAAACAGATGTTTTCAAGAGAGAAAGAGGAAGCACATATAAATCGCTTTCATTGCTTACACATTTCAAATAATCTCTGTAGAGGCAAATGGTGACAGCTGAGCAGTTGCCCCTTTTCAGCAACTAGACATACGTCAAAGTTAGCAAAATGATCAGTCCTCCTGAATAAAATAAAGACTGAAGTGTATATGTATCTTGCTGAGCTATTTAGGGCTTATTCCAAGGAACCAAGAAATCCCTGGAGGACACAACTGCATTCTACACTCGTATATATTTTAGACACGGAAATATTTGGCAGGAATAATTTTGTGTGAAAGCTACTTTTCAAATCAAACTTCCCTAACATCCAGTAGAGGTCCAATGCCTTGAATGCTCTCTTTGGTTCAAGAAAACACAGGAGGTAGATTAAGGAAAAGCAAACAGTAGTTACAAGCAGCACTTGCTTTTTCACACGTCTAGGTACTTTATTTCAACCACCAGCACCCAAAAAAAAGCCTCACTATCAGGAATCCTCAACCTTGTTATTTATAGTTTAGGGGGCTGAGTTATAAGCTCCTAACAAGTATTTCTAAATCTTATTCAACAAATTTCAGGGAGAAAAAAAAAAAACCTGCCCAGAAAAAAAATGCTTTGTGGCTTCAAATTCAGGTCAGTGGCGTTACAATACAGATATTTTATGCTCTGAAGTACTCTTCAAATCGGAAACATTTTGTAAATTGGTGCTTATAAATACCCAAATTAACTATAAAGGACATATGAAGAAAGACACTATCTGCATGCAGAGAAAGAACTGACAACTAGATGTATAGGATAATTTTACATATATATGTACTTATTTGTGTCTAATGGTAGGCATGGGGGGACGGGAGAGAGAAAAGAATTTGTATGATAATTTTGTATATTTGAAAGGAATAGCAAGTTGTGCATAGTAAGTTTGCAGTTTCATGCACAATCTTTTTTATTTTACAATGTTATGGAAATACTTGTATTTCCATAAATTCAAAATAAATTTAAAAAAAAAAACAAATTAGTACCTAGCTATTGGCTGCACATACAGTAAATAATTCAGGCCCTGAAGTCCATGCTGGAAATAGGAATTTTTCCTTTCTGGTAACGAATGACTTGGAGACAAAATGCAAGGAATTCTACACTAGGTCCCAGAGCACAGATGTGGGCTGCTGTTAGAGCAACTCCAGGGTTTCTCTCTGTATTATCCACATTCCACTGAAATGTACCTGAAATTGGAATCACCTGCCAAGAACACCTGGCACTTCTGACACATGGATAATTTTACTTGGCACACAGAAAACTACCTTAGGTTTATTTCTGGGGAGGCAGTGGCGGGTAGTGAAAAGAACCCTCCTTTTACTTTTTTACTTTCTATCTATACTGTACATACCTTATACAATATCTATTTATACATCACCTCTCCTGTAGAATGTATGCTGTTTGAGGATAAGAAGTTTTTGCCTCTTTTATTGTATCCCCAGAGCTTAACAGTGCCTAGTCCTTGACCGAGTGACTGACTGACTGACTGGCATCAGATAGCCTGGATGGAGTTTCAGCTCTACCATTTATTACCTCTGTTCCTTTGGGCAAATTGCTTCACTTCTATCAAATGGAGACAATGAGACTTATACTCTAGATATTAACAAGGTAGCAGCAACAAAACACTAATAAACCTTGAAGAACTATGGAAAAATACACTGTTGTTTCCTCACTTAAACTGGGCAAGTTGAGAGGAGTAACAGCAAAGAAACTGAATGAAGGGGAAATGATTCTATTCCAGAAAATTACTGAGAAGTAGAATTTAAGATTTCAAAGGCTGTTCCCCACTGAGCTCTTCCTTCATTATCAAACTAATTTGTTCATACTGGTGATTTCCTTTCCAAATTGAGTAATAAGAACCAAAATGAACTATTAAATGAAACCAAAAAGGTACGCAGTGAAATTAGCATCATTTCATCACTCTTCCGCACATCATAACGATAAGAAATGGAGGTATTCTCACACTTTGACAACTCTCCCCTTGTGTTTTTATTTTGCTTAAAGAAAAAGAACTCTACTTGCTTAGTTATTGTAAACTAGCTTAAATGCACTCTTGGTTGTTTTTTTTCTTTCTAACAGCTGCAAAAGATGTTCAAAATATACAAAAACATGTAAAACCTAGCAGGTAAAAAAAATTTTAAGGCATTTAAATACAAAAGATAACATAAATTGATCTAGCTGACTAAAAAGTGAATGTCTGAAAAGTACTCTTGGAAATAAGTTTCTTTTCAATTGTGTTTCAAGCTAATTGAATGATTGTTTTAGATGTGGCCTCAGGAGCCAAGGGGCCGACAAGAGGAAAGGCAAGTAGAGCTCTGCGAATTTCATGAATATCAAATGTTTTTAACATATAAAGAACTTAACAAAAGTATAATTTCATCTTTAAATTTTCACACATATAAAATTAAGGTAAGATGCCTGACGTGCTATTTGATATGTTTCTCCCACTGAGGCCATGATGCATCTCTTCTCAAAGATCTTTGGTGACTTTAAGGGGCGAGAGACACAGATACTGTCATGCTTTCGGATAATCAGCCTCGTGCCAGGAGTTCACCCTTCAGTTTGGGGCTACTTTCAAGCTTTCCTTCATTTTCTCATATACAACATAGCTGATGCTCACTGCAGGCAGCACTTTCATGAAGTTAGGCGTGATGCCCCTGTAAAGTCCAAAGATTCCTTCTCGGGAAACTATTCTCTTGAAGAGGCCAATCATATTCAACTGGGGTGCTCCTTCCACCATGGCTAGAAAGGAAAGGAAAAAATAAAAGGTGCATGTGATATTCATTTTAGTAGCCTGTGATGAAATCAAATGAGAATACCAAGTACCACAAAAGAATCAATTTTTTTTTTTTTACAAGAGGCCTCAAGGACATATGCCGCATAGCTCACTGTAACACCTAAGTATTAGGCATCTATGCCAAAATGGTGGGAGGGTGGGGGGTAGTAAGTAAAGAAGTATTATCTTGCCCCTGTTCTACAGGGAACCTCCTTATTTCAGTCCCCTCAAAAGAGCCAGCATTTATTAGAGGAGACCCATGACTACTGAACAGTTCTCCAAAGAAGAAACCAAAGGGGATGATTTTAAAACCATGAAACACTGTTATTTCTTACCATGGTTATTCTTTCAGCAAAAACTCACCTTGAGCTTGCATGCGAGTCCTGATTAGAGACAGGGGGTAGCTGGCCAATTGGCCACACGTACTGGACAAGGTACCACATCCCAGCAGCACCAGTACCCCAGGGTTTACAGAGTTTTCTACATAATGCTCTAGCCAATAATTCTTCAACAGCTGCCAAAGAACACAAAAGTAATACGCTGTCACCACCACACAAGTCAAGGCAGAGTAAAATGAGTCACTGTCTTTTTTTCTTCCATTCCCATACATAACCCAGCATAACCAACTATAGTCTTCTACTTGCCCCATTCAATCACTGCAAAAGACATGAGATAATTCTTTGGAGATGCAGGCAATGCAAATACTCAGCTATGAGGTTACAGACTGTAGTTCAAAGCACAGCCAAAGACACTTGCATTGTTCATCGGCTGCCCATTTGCTTCTAAGTATAATTCAGGAACCAAATAATGTTGGCCCAAATTATCTTATGGATCCTTCCTCATTGTTCATTCTCCTAATTAACATTAACCAGGGTTCTCCAGCTCCAGACCACAAGAGTTTTATAGCTGAAGGGCCCTTAGCATCTGAGGCAGACTTAAGTTTCCTGACTTTTAGGAAACATCTTATCAAAGCTCTCTTCCTTTAGGAGAGGGTAAGTGTCAGTGGTTTTCAAATTCTGGGTTTAAAAACAACTTTTTTAATATCTAAAGATTTATACTTCTTCAGCAGTGTTCTGAGGTGATCACTATAAAAGGTGTAGTTTGACAGAATTGAAATAATAAATGATTACATTTCAAAAGTCTGCTTATATTCAGTGTTCCCTTGTTGCCATGATACAACAAAGACAGATGCCAGGGTGTGTGTCAATGATGTCTGGAGGCCAAATACTTTGAACTACAGAGATAAAAGGGCAGAAACAGTTCAAAAGAAACAGCCATCATCCCATTTACACTAGACCAAAACAGCAAAAAAGAAATCAAGAAAAAAGGCACTCTTAAAATCATTTATCACATCACAATTCTATAGAAATCTGAATGCACTTCGTAAAACTCATAACCCAGACGTACTCTTGTTTGCAGAGAAGATGGCAATGGCATGTCTGGGGGAATGTGTCCCTGGCCATGGCTATTAAGTTGTGCCAATCAAATCATACTCCTTTACCTCCTGACCACTAGCATGATCCCTTGAAATTCAATTACCTTTCACAGCTAGGGACACATCTAACAGCAGAGTGTGGCAGGGGAGAGTCCTAGCTCTGGCACCACAGAACCTGGGTTCAAACTCTGGTTCTAGTACTTACATCTGTGTGACCCCACAAGTCATATCTCTAGGTCTCGGTTTCTTCATCAATAAAATGAGAGACTGATCTAGATTAGGGATGGGCAAACTACAGCCTCAAAAATAAATTCAGGGGCAGCGAGGTGGCACAGTGGATAGAGCCCAGGCTTTGGAGTCAGCAGGACCTGAGTTCAAATCCAGCCTCACATGCTTGACACTTACTAGCTGTGTGACCCTGGGCAAGTCACTTAACCCCAATTGCCTCATCAAAAAAGTAAAAATAAATAAATAAAAATTCTTCTTAGCTTTTGGGGCATAAAAAAAAACAGATGGTAAGATCTGGCCCACGGGCCATATTTTGCCGACCCCTACTCTCGATGATCTCTGAGGTCCTTTCCAGCACTGACTTTATATAAACTAATTATTCCAAATGGAGATGGAATCAGAGATCTTGGCCTGAGCAATACCATATCCTAATTAGCCATAGGAGATATCCCCTACAATTTACCATTCCATTGTCCTCTCTTCTCGTCCCCTTCTTCAAGATTAGAAGGGTTCAAATTTCCAATATTTCTCTTCTTTAAAAAGTAATATAAAGGGCAGCTAAGTGGTACAATAGATAGAGCACTGACCTTGGAGTCAGGAGGACCCAAGTTCAAATCTGGCCTGAGATACATACTAGCTGTGTGACCCTGGACAACTCACTGAACCCCAATTGCTTCAAAAAAAAAAAAAGGTAATATAAGATTAGGTTTTAATGAGCAGGAAGCAACACATCCTACAAATTTATCAGATTTACCCTGGGAACAAACTTACTTCATAAACAGTCAGATCTATTCCTGCATAGGGGATGACACCAAGGAAGTTTGGGATGTAGCCTTTGTAAAAGGCTTTCACGCCTTCATACTTCAAGATCTTCTTGGCACAGTCGTACATTCCGGAATATTGCCCAGTTTTGGCTACAGCCAACCTGGTCTTTAGAACCTGAAGGTGAAAAGACAGGGATGTATTTAATTGGTCAGAAATGTCCTAAACTACTCAGTATTCGCATGAATTGGATGATGCCATGTATCTTGCTAATATCAAATTTAAAGTTCAAGGCTCTCTTACACTTAAAAAGAAAAGTTATTGCTGTTAAATTCTAATGGTTTCTATCTTGGAATCACAAGTAGAACAAGAAAAACCTAAGGAGACCATAGGAGTACCTGCCAGGGAGAGAAAGCCAAGAGGTAAGAGACTCAGGCAGCAAGAAGTAGACTGCTGCTGGAATATAAGGGAAGACTGCTGTGCAAAGAAGGTGAACAACAGCAGGGTGGGCAAGCAACTAGGGGATCCCCAAACTCTTCTACTGAGCCATGGGGCCCCTCTTTTTTGTCTATTTTTATTTTTAACCCCTTTCAAAAAAATAAATCATACCTTGTCTTTGTATCTCCAGAATACCTAGCAAAATTCCTTGCACAATACATAATATTTGTCGAATTGATTTTCCTTGAACCTATAAAATCAGGTGATTGGACTACAGAGCACTGGACTTAGAGCCCGACGACTCTCTCTCTGCATTTGGTATCTGTCTGACTTCAGGAAAGTCCTAACTTGTCAGAGCTTCAGTTTCTTCATCTGTAAAATGAAAGGTTGGCCCAGATGACCTCAAAGCACCCTGCAGTTCTAAACCTCTGACCCTAGATGACCTCTAGATTGTCTGCCAGCACTAAATCTCATCAGCCTATCGATTGTCCTCATGTCAGAATTCGGCATAAGGGGAACAGATGTTAAATCGCTAAAATACTTATGCATAAGGCAGTGTGACAGCACGGCCCCAAAGCAGAGACTCCAGCGGACCACAGAAACACAAATCATGAAATCTCATTCCACCACATCCAGGCCTAACTTATTTAATGCTACTGGTGTTTACGTCTTCCTCTTCTGCCTGCTGAATTTCCATTGACTGAAAAAAGAATTCCCTCCATGTCTGGAGAATTAACACACACCTTCCACCACCCCAAGCCATTGCAGTTCTTCCAAAGAGAAAATGACTAATATGAGTAGCCCCCAACTTTATGTCTTGATCAGCGTTTTTTGGCGTAGGCCTCTTAGATACATTGCAATCAGTGGGAAGACCTTTATTTTAGCAACAAAAATGGCAGTTCAGGTGAAATGTTTGAGGATAGCTACAAAGTGGTTTTTGTCCTAAAGGAGGGCTCTTTGTTTGGGAGCCAATTACCACCTGGTAATAGAAGTAGCTAGGTAGTACTGTGGATAGAGGCTGGGCCTTGCGTCAGGAAGACCTGAGTTCAAATCTGGCCATAGACATTAACTAGCTCTGTGACCTTGAGCAAGTCACAACCTCCGTTTGCTTCAGTTTTCCCATCTGTAAAATGGAGATGATGATAATAACAGCATCAACCTCCCAGGGATGTTGTAAGGATCAAATGAGATAGTATTTGTAAAATGCTTAGCACAGTGCCTAGTATATAGTAAGCACCATATAAATGCTATTATTATTACTATAAAATATTTTACCTCCAATGTTAAATTTCTGCTACTAAGACCTGAGATAGGGCTCATATGAAAGAAATATAAGAGAGAACAACAGACTTTTCACAACAGCACTTACCTCCATGGGGTAGATGAACGTCTGTGCTGTTATTCCTGCCGCAGAACCAGAAATAAATCTCTCAACGGTCCCTAATTTGGCACCATCACTGGTCAACCACTTCTTATACTGTGTGGAAAGAAGTGTTTGAATACACATGAATACAAGATTAGAAGAGTTACAAACTGAAGGAACAGACCGGAAGTGTAAAAAAGGCTCAGTTATCTCAACATACCTGATTCCCATATCTATTAAATAGTCCCAGCCCTTGTCTCACTCTGAAATCCCTGCCTGCAGCACCACCAATAGCCTATCAGATATTGTCCCATGGAAAATCAAACTGACAAGTCCAAAACACAATTGATTGCCTTTCCTTCCTCTCCTTCCCTTCCCTTCTCCCTAATTTCCTTGTTTCTGTTGAGGGTGCCACCATATTTCCATTCACCCGGGGCATCCTCTCTCTCAAGCCCCATATCCAATCAGTGGTCAGGTCTCATGCAATCTATCTCCACAACATCTCTCACAGCTACCTTCCAAACTCAGGCAGCCACTGCCTTCCCCACTTCCTGCCTGGATTACTGTAAAAGTCTCTTCACCGTTCTCCCTATCTCCATTCTCTCTTCAGTACAATCTATCCTCCACACAGATGCCAAATTGAGGATATTCTTAATATCCTGAACAAGTCATTCCCCTGCTAGAGATCTCAGGTGGCTCCAGCATGCCTCCCAGATAAAATATAATATCTTTTCTTTGGTACTTAAAGCCCTTCTGGTTCCGGCATATATTTATTTCTAGCCTTGTTAAACATGACTCCCCTTCACACAATGCATATTCCAGCCAACCTGGACTACTGACTCTCCCTGTACCCAGTGTTTGATTTCTCCTCTCCATGCCTTCACACAGACTTGTTCCCTTTACCTAGAATGTCCTCTCTTCTCATTTCTATCTCATAGCATTCCTAGGTTCCTGCAAGGCTCAGCCCAAGTACCATCTTCTACATCAGCATGAAGCCTGTCTTGATCCTATCCCCACTCCCCAGTGCTAAGGTTCTGCCCTCCTGTAGTTAATTTGTATAAGAACAGGGACTAGTCCTATGATTTTATTAGTATAAGGAACTCCCAAGTAAATAAACTCCCTTTACCCATGTAGGCCGACACCTGTTCTAAAGCCTGTAGTCTTGAGAGTTGCCTAAAGTGCTGGAAGTGGCGTGGCTTACAGCTTTAAAAATAGCCACTGTTCATCAGAGGGAAGAATTGAATCCAGCTCTTTGTGACTTCTTGTGACTCAGCCCTCTGGACATCAGCTCTCTCCAGCTCTCTGTGTGTCATGCTATCTTTCTTATTTACTTTGCATGCACTCTGTATGTATGTACATGCTGCTTTCCCCTCAAAAAAAGATAAGCTCCCTGAACACAAGGAGTGCTTCAGTATCTCCTAAAGTGCCTGGCACATGGCAATCAATAAACATTTCTGAAGCACCTACTATGTTCCAGAAACTGTGCTAAGCTCTGGCAGCAACATGATGAATGCTTGGCCAAGGAACAAATAGTTTCAATAAGCAAACACACACACACACACACACACACACACACACACACACACACACACA